GTTAGGTTTCCATTTTATGCTTTTTGAGTCCTTGGAGTGATTGATGAGCTTCTTGATTCACTCTAGAACTGATTGATGGTAGATCTTGGTTTCTTTTAGTCTCTTTGTCTATAAAAGGTTCAAACATTGTGGTGATTATGGACTCATGCATGTGTTAAGACCGTTTATTAAGCTCTTTTGAGCTCTAGAACCCCATTAAGCCATGCAGGCACATAAAGCTGCCAACTTTACATGATAAGTCACCTTAAGGAAGTCAGACCTGAGAGTTGGGTCGAAGTCTTAATTGAATAAGTGCTTAATTGATGAGGTTGGCCAACTGGTGAGTACGCTGGGCGTACCAAGCTGGTACACTGCACGTACTTGCCCAAGGACGTGTACGCTGAGCGTACGAGGTGAGTACGCCCCGTGTACTTAGCATATGGGCTTCAAACTATTGGGCTCTCTATTTTGGGCCATGTTTGGACTTTAGGTGAATAGGGCCTTGTTGGGCCATTAGATTTTATTTGGGCTGATACTTTTATTTTGGGATTCACTTGGATAAGGCCCACGAAGGGATTTGGCCCAATTTTGAAAATTGGGCCATATTTGGGCTTTGGGTGACCATTTTGGAATTGGGCCTTTTGTATAGTTGGTTTGGGTCTTGGCCTTGGGCCAAATTAGGAAAAAAGGGTATAATCGTCTTTTACCCTAGTTTTGTTTAATGGTTATGGATTGGAATCCAATTATTAATTGGATGTTATTGGTATTTTGACAACGTGGGGATTTGTCGGACCAGCTGCCATAGATTTATTAGTGTGATTCAGCAGCTCGAGGTGAGTTTTCTCACTAAGTTTAGTGGGTCTAAGGCACCAATGTCGGCCCATGATCTATTATGTTAGTATGCTAGATGTTTGTGTGACTCTTGCATGTGTATGTGCTTATATGTCTGTTGGCCGGGCCCCGATGGTTATTTTGTATGCAAATATCTTGTCATGCTTATATGATCTGTATGTTAGGTGGGGCCCGTTATGTGAGTTAGGGCGATGCCCGTTATACTCAGTGGGCGGGGCCCGTTATGCGAGTTAGGGCGAGGCCCGTTATACTCAGTGGGCAGGGCCCGTTACGCGAGTTAGGGTAGGGCCCGTTACACTCATCGGGCGAGGCCCATGATCTGTTTGATATGTGTGGTATGTGGTATTTGGGAGAAACTCACTAAACTTTGTGTTTACGATTTTCAGTTTATGCTTTAGGTACTTCTGGTGCAAAAAGAAAGAGCTCCGGGTGATTGCAGTGCACACACGTTACTGTTCCACATTTCATGATAACTCTGATATTTGTGATGTTTTGATACATTGTTCCAGTTGAGATTTGTGATGAAGTTTTGAATATTTTTTTTATTAAATTAAAAATAAAATTTGTGGGTCTTATTTTTAGGACGTTACAATTATATGTCGCAGTGTAAGTGTGTGTAGAAAGGAAAGAAATAAAGGACACAATACATGCATGGTAGTGTGGAGTAGCCAAAATGGCCCAAAAGTGAACGGTAGTGAAAAATTGCCTGTAGCGCCGCTATAGCAGTGATGCGTATCACAGTAAATAGCTCTCAATAGCGCCGCTCATAGTGTCACCGCTATTCATAAATGCTATTTTGAAATAGCGGTTTTGTACCTCTGATAAACGCTATGACGTCGCTATAGTACCGCTATAGCACGCTATTGATAACATATGATAAATCAACAACGTCAATATAAGCTAGCTAACAAACTTTATATCCATGCGACCATTTCGAAGTCAACTACAACTTTTCTATATAAAACATGCTCATTTTTTTTATAACACGACAAACATGAGGGTATATAACTCGTAAACACGAAAAATCACCGAACTTATAGATCCTTATTATTTCATTATATAATTATCAAAAGTCACAAAAAACAAGTGTTACAGCAACTTAGGGTTCCATTTTCCCAAATTCACAATTAAAGGTGGAATCAACGATTATGAAGGTGGAATCAGGGTTGATCCAAGTTGATTTGAGGCTCGGGCAAAACCAAATGAGGTCTTTCAAATTCAATAATTGTATATGATAATACAATGATATATAAAGTGGGTTTAAAGAATGTGAGTTAAATATTAAAATCAATACAACTGCTCGCTGTGAAAAAAAAAATGAAAAAGCAAACCAAAAAACTAAACAATCGAACCATTTTGAAAACCATCGGTTTGGTTTTTGCATTAAGAAAGTTTGATCTTTTTGGTTTGGTCTTTGTTATAAAAAACTTGAAAAATAGGATCGAACTGGACTATCCAAGCAACGTCCTTTTATATAAATTTAATTGATTAGTATATTAAAAATTAAAATAAATAATATATTTTATAATATTATTGAAAACTACGAGAATAAAAATATGTTTACGTTATATAAAAGCTAATATACGGCCATTTTGAGTCGAATATTAAAAAAATGCTAATAGAATAATATCCAAGTTTGTTGACGTATCGAATATAAAAAGATTTGTGTTTAAAACCACGTGGTTTACTATTTACGTAAAACGATATGAATGAAAAAAACATAGTACAAGGGTCTCAAATCGGATAACCAATTGCAAATAAATAAAGAATTAAGATGAACTATTAATCTACTAATTGCAAATAACCAATGGCAAATAAACGCCGATTGTTTTCCATTTTTGTTTATATTTTATTTTTTTTATATGTTTTATTGGCTATTGAAATAAAACATGGGCTTTAGATACCTAGATTTGTATATTATTGTTAGACATATTAAAGACAAGGTGTGAGGGTGGGTCATTTTAGATATTAAAGGTCGTTCCTAAATAATTTTTATTTATAAGATAGGGGTGAGCAAAAACCGAACCGATAAAATAAAACCGCAAAAATCGTAATAAACCGTAACCGAAAAACCGAAACCGACAAAAAAACCGATGGTGCGGATTTTATTTTTTTGAAAAACCGAATTTATTGGTGCGGTGCGGTTTTTATATAGAAACCGGAGCACCAAAACCGAACCGCACCGCAAGCTTATTAACAATAAAATAAATCATTAATTTATATTATACAATTATACATATTATTTAAAAAACTAATAAATTCTAATTTATACATATATTATATATTGAACTTGACGGTAATTAGTAATTAGGTATTAGGTTTAGTAGGTGAGTTTATCACTTTGTGTTTGTGACTTAATGATTATGTGTAAAGTGTAAAAACTATGTGGACTACAATTTGCAAGCTTGTAACTTCAAAGCACAAATTGAATAAAAAAATGAACTTGTAAATATGGGTTGCAAATGAAGTGATCAAGTAAACAATATAAAAAACTCAAAATTACAGCTTCTAAATGTGAAGAAACGAAATGACATCATGTCATACAATCATAAATCTTCACATGAACATCACGGTTAAAAAAATCGTACCGCTGAACATAAAAAACCGCACCATATGTTTGACTTGGTTTAAAACCGACACCGAACCGGTACAAACCGAAACCGCACTCAAAAACCGCAAAACCGAACCATTGAAAAACCGCACCCAACGGTTTCTAGAATTCAAAAACCGCACATTGCGGTTTGGCGGCATTTTTATTTGGGTCAAGTCTTGTATAAGTGTAGCCTCGCCATTGCATTTTATTGACATATATATTGTTTTTAAAATGTTCATATGTACATGTATTTAAACATAAGGAATATTTGTTGAAAACCAAACACAATTACCATTACAACTTTCCAGTAACTTAATTATCATAACTTTATTGGTATTATATATTTTTAAATTTTGGCTAAAAAGAAAGCAAACATGAGATTTTGAAATTAGGTGACAGAAAAAACATCACTATGAAAGTTAATATACATAGCGTCTATATATCAACAAAACTATCGACAAACTTCCGTATTTAATTAGATGAAAAACTGAAACTACAAGAATCGAACCTAATACAAATAGCCATGCTTCGTAATCAACTCAGCTAAAAGATGTTTACCAACATACTAGCATATATATATATATATATATATATATATATATTATATATATATATATATATATATATATATATATATATATATATATAATTAATTAATTTTTAGGTCCAAACTATTACGAGGAGGCCAAGGTCTCTTTCCCATCTTGCCCCCTATTGGGCCGGGCCTGGAAGAAATGATAATGAATTGATGTTTTAGAGCATAATAACCTATTCTTCAAAAGTCAAAACTCACCCAAACCCTAGGTCAAAATTTTTAGAAATCAAGGAGAAAGATTCTCTCTCTCTCATATTCATATCTTTGACAATTCACCTATTTAAACGCTTCAAATTGTTATTTGTTCATATTGACCATCACTTTAACTAGGCACTTATTCCAAGTCTCAAATTCATAAGTAAAGTCTCACTTTATAATATCCGAAGAATATGTCCTTTGACTAAGTCAAACAAAGCATAACAAGTTTAACCTAATTTACATTTTTAGTCTCTATTTCTATATTTTCAACTTAAAGTCCAGATAAGTTTTCAACTCCATAAATCTTAATAAATAATATTAGGATGGTTTATATATAAAATTTAACTCTTCAAAACTAGTTATTTATTTATTATTTAATTTTCCAAAATTTTTATTTTTACCAAAAATGGACAAATTTCCAAGCCCAAAAGGGATGTTACATGAGACATGTTGGTTCACGATATAGACTAGGTAATTGAATGACCGGAATAAAAATGTAAGTGAATGGTATAAACAAACAACACGATTACACACACAAAATTCCCTCCAATGATTTTGTACTAACGCAACACAAACATTGTTAATCTAAATAACTTTTGCAACTGACGAGTTCCATACATGTTTTAGAGAGTCCAACAAACTCAAGATTTTATTAAATCCAACAAAAAATCAATTAACAATCTTTTGAAACATCAATTGTTAAATCAAAATTAGCATTTCTCAGGCATCCGCCTAAGGCATTTATTAAAAAAGAAAAGAGTAAAAAACATACTAGTCATCAAATCACCGGAAATGATTTATAATACGTTGGAACTGCCTTAATCTAATACGAATTAGGTGAACTAAAGAGACCATAAAGGTTAGAGTGGAAGTGGCCGCACTAATAATAAATAGACCACCAAATTTATCAAGCGTCACAGCGTGGGGAATTGTAGAATTTCTGGAAGGAAGAGATATTCGATTCTCATACCACTTGTTTTCCAAACTTCCTAGAGTTCCGTCTAACCTTATCTTGGCGATTTCTCTTGACACGTCTTCAACAAGCGGGGAACCTTTTTGGAATATCTGAATTACATGTTAACCATGGGCGTATATGACAATATGAAACACGATTTGTAATTCATGTGCTACTAAGAAAAATGTAAAATTATGTCTGTCATATGGTTTAAGAGATATGTTTTAAAGTGTTTTTTATACATCTGAAACATTCTTTTCTATAAAGCAAAAAAAAATTAAAAAAAATATAGAACATCATGCAATCAATGACAAAACCACCAATTACTTTGTTATGTAATAATGCATGGGGAAGTGATGAAGAGGAAGGGGTACTTACAAAGGCAAAAACCAGAAGTGATAGGTAGAGAGGAGACCAAGCCACAATCACCAGAGTACCTGCTAAGAAACATCTTGATGTATGGAATTTCATCAACAATGGCATCAGCACCACTATCATCTGATAAAGCATGAGCATAATCCTGGTATGAGTAGTATGGACTGTGCTTCCAATTTTTCGAAGTGCATGTTGTTGACTGTCACTCCTTTCATAAAATCGCCTCCATGAAACCCCAACAAGTCCTCCCTTTCATGCCGATTCAAATTGCTCTACTGTCAACTGTGAAGTCAAAAAGGCATCGTAGCCTGTGAACAAGATAAGCACCACAATGAACCAGATGAACATTACAAATTTTGACAGATTCCTTGAAAGCTCGTCTTCTACAATACAAATGCAAATCACTGTGAGATATTTATTAATTTCTATTTCAGAGAGTAAAAGCATCTTAGAGAGAAAGAGGGAGAACTTTGAGCAAATAAAATGATCAGTAGGAAGGTCCAGCCGGATAGTAGTTTTCCATTTTGCTGAGTTGTTGAACCATTCGAATCTGGATTCATACGTTCGATAGCCCAAACAATGAAGACATTGAAGATAAGAGAACCAATAGCAACTAGCCATAGATAAATGTCCATCAGCGGCCTCAAGAAGAACCATATGTTTTTCTTCTTGATTCTAGCTAGTGTTCCTACACTCAAGTCAGTGTAAGTTGCTGTAAAGTCAACATACTTAGATCTATTGGCCAAAATTGTTGAATCACACACGACTGCATCAATTTCCTGTCACGAAGCAAATCCATAGACTACAAAATTAGATGTCTTCCCAAGTAAATCATATGGTTGATGTTAAACTTGTAGTCAGAAACAAACATATATATACCTCATTGTACACCTTCTGCACAAGATCGTCGTAAGTGCAATTCTCAAATAAAATGAATGTGTATGGCTCTTCATATGGCAATGCACGAATACAAGTATTAAATACATCTATGGAGAACCAAGTGGCAGTTGTAACATTTTTCTTAACATCATGTTCTACATCCATGAAATACCTAAAGTTTTTAGTCTTCAGAACACCAATTTTTAACCCATCCTTTTGGAGTAGTTGTAGACCCTCCGGGCCAGATAACAGCTTCAGACGCTAGACTAGGATATAAACGGTCGATGTTAATATCTGAGTGTGCTCTCCTAATTCCTTCTGATAATGTCCAATATCCTACTCTCCTCTCACCATTGTCTACCGCATTCATAATCTCATATCCATTGGATAATACTTTTCCTTCACTAAGCTGAAAATCACCACTTATACCTTTAAATCCAATTTTCAAAACTTCATGTTAAAGCATAGAACCATTATGTGGGACTCCAACCTTCTCTACAGACTCCGCAAGTGCCCGAATTGTATCATATGCCCATAAGTCAGGCACAGGCAATTCTTTTGTTATTGAGGTGAAATTATTTCTGTAAAAGAAATTGTGCCATTTTGTTGTTAAGCTATACAGTCTGTCCGTGTTGGTGATCAAGCCAATACAACAGTGAAGTAACAAAGAAATAACAGGGGTAACAACTGAATGAGGCAGTCGAATGATTATTATTATTGAATGAAGAATAGCAACCTAATAATTACAGTTAATGTACAAGGGAATTTCAACTGAATACTGTAACCTCAAAGCTATGCCTTTTAAACTAGTAAAAACTAATAGAAAAGAGAAATACTAGGAACAATCCTTTTTCCAACGGTCATGACTCCCATGTGCTCTATTTTTCCTAATTACCAGGTCAACCTTTGACCAACATTTCTCCCCCTCAAGGTTGACCTTTCTTCTTCAGATCTTCTATGCCAATAAGTGCCCTCATCTCAGCAAACTTTATCCTTGGCATTGCTTTTATTAACACATTAGCCTTCTGTTGATCTCCACTCACATGTTCCATCTGGATGTGTTCCCTTTCGACACACATACGAATAAAGTGGAACCTTGTATCTATGTGTTTGCTTCTACCATGGAACACTGGATTCCTTATGAGGGCTATAGTTGATTGGTTATCAATCAATAGCTTCACCTTCTGTGCTTTCCTTCCCATCAGCTCACTGAACAAATTTCTTAACCACAGACCTTGGCACACAGCTGCGGCTGCAGCCATATACTCAGCCTAGCATTAGCTGAGAGCCACAGTTTTCTGCTTCTGTGATGCCCATGTTATGAGGTTTCCTGAGTAGTAATAGGCTACACCAGTGGTTCCTCTCCCATCTTCACGGTCACTGCTGTAGCTACTGTCACTATAACCCACGAGTTTTCCATCACCACCCCTGCGATACATTAGCCCAAACTCAGTTGTCCCCTTTACATATCTCAGGATATATTTTATAGCAGCATAATGGCTTTGTTTGGGGTCTTGCATAAACTTGCTCACCGCTCCAATACTGTAGTTTAGGTCTTGTCTTGTGTGGACCAGGTATCTTAAACTCCCAACAAGCTTTCTGTACATTGTTGTATTCACGGGTTCACCATTTTCATCTTTGGTTAAGTGGAGTTTTGGCTCCATTGGGTACTGTGAACTATTGCAGCCTTCCATCCCTGATACCTTTAGGATACTTTTAGCATATCCCTTTTGTGTGAGCATTATACCATCCTTACCCGGTGATACTTCAAGTTCCAGATAGTATGATAGCAATCCGAAATCACTCATGTCAAACAATCGTTTCATTCTATTCTTGAAATCCTAGATTCCCTTCTCATTTGACCCAGTGACTATAAGATCATCTACATATACACCAACTATGAGAATCAAGTTGGGTTTGTGTACCTTGTAGACGGCTTGCTCTTGAGCAAATCTGATAAATCCAGTGGGCTGAGTTACGTAAACTTCCTCCTTAAGATCGCCGTGTAGGAACCCTGACTTGACATCCAGGTGATGTACAAGCCAATTTTCTTTTGTTGCTAACGAGAGGATCAGTCTTATTGTCTCCAACCTAGCGACTGGTGCAAAAGCTTCATCAAAATCGATGCCCCCTTTCTTAAACGTACCCCTTGGCCACCAATCGGGCCTTGTGTTTGATTACTTCTCCAAATGCATTCCTTTTTAGCTTGAATACCCACTTTAGCCCTATTGCCTTGCGATTTGGGGGCAATTTGGCTAAGGACCAGGTATTGTTTCTTTCAATCGACTCCAATTCCAATTTCATGGCCTGCTTCCAATCTTTTTTTGCCGCTGCTTCTTCATAGGTCGTAGGTTCATCATCGATCAACAATAGTTCCTGGTCTTTCTCATACAGCTCCTGTATTTCAGCCTCGTCCAATCTTCTTGTATTCTCGTAGATTTCATTGAGTGATAGAAATCCTTTCGCTGATGTGTCGTCATACGAGGCTACAGACCCAGTTTCTGCCGATGCTTGACCTGGAGGTGATGATCGCGACCCCAATCTGTGCGAGCTTTGCTATGGCGTATCTTTAAACGACGGACTGTGAGTTTCGTGGTCTAGGCGAAAGTCACCATGTAACGTCGTCAATGGATCTTCACTCACATTATCTTCTGGATCGACTTCTTGGGCCGGTTGCGATTGGGCTGCCATACCGATCACAACATTAGTCCAATAAGGGGTTGTAAGAGGCTCCCCCATTGTATCGTTACTCCATGCCCAAGGTTTTGCTTCGTTGAACATTACGTCTCTAGCTACTACTATCCGTCGACTACTGGGATTATACATACGGTATCCCTTAGTTCCTTTTTTAGTTACCAAATACACCATAGCCTCACTCCGATCGCTCAATTTTGTTAGGCCACGCAGCTTCTTGACGAATCCTACACACCCAAAGACCTTCAGCTGTGCTAAGGACGGCTTGGAACCCTTCCAGGCTTCATATGGAGCTACGTTCTTTAACGCCTTCGTCCTAATTCTGTTATGCAACTACACTGAGTGTCTCACTGCTTCGCCCCAAAAGTTATCTGGTAGTGCCATGGCCTTGAGCAGGGACCTTGTCATCTCTAGGACTATTCGATTGCGCCTCTCCACAACGCCATTTTGTTGGGGCGTGTGTGGAGTCATCAATTGCCTACGTATTCCAGCTTGTTCACAGAAATTAGCGAACTGGGTAGAGTTAAACTCGCCTCCCCGGTCAGTTCGTAACATCTTGATCTTATACTCACATTCCCCTTTAATTCGTGACTTGAATTTATGGAAGATGTTGAAGGCCTCATCTTTGGTTTTGATCAGGTACACCCACATGTAACGTGAGTAGTCATCTACAATTAACAGGAACTATTGATTACCACCTTTTGTTGCAGGTGTAATGGGTCCACAGAGGTCTGTGTGCAACAGCTGGAGTGGGTCTTTTGCTCTCCACTGGGTCACCTTTGGGAAGCTTTGTCTTGCCTGCTTGCTTACCATACAGCCTCCGCAGACTTGTGATGGGTGAGTCAACTGGGGCATACCTGTCACCATTCCTTTACGTGTCATCTCTCCAAGTAACTTGAAGTTTGTGTGATCCATACGTGCATGTCATAACCATGAGTCATCATCTATACTCATGGCCAGACATACAGGCTTCCCAGGCGTAAGCCTTATTTTATAAAGTCTATTCTTGGACCTTTGCACTTTCATAACTAGGCAGCCTGCTTCATCATACATTCTCAAAAACTCTTTCTTCATGCCTATGTCATACCCCTCCTCAGTCATTTGTCCTAGACTGATTATATTGTTGTGTAGGGCAGGTATATAATACACGTTTGGGATGACAAGTTGGTCGCCATTCTTACAGTCAAACAAGAGAGTGCCCTTTTCTTTGATCGGAACCTTAGACCCATCTCCGAATCGAACCTGCCCAGTTACTTTCTCGTCAAGTTCAGAAAATAAGGCCTTGCATCCGGTCATATGGTTACTAGCCCCATTGTCTAGATACCATATGTTTTCATCATTACTCTCCTTTAGTTGACTTGGGTAGACTTTTTCTTCATTCAAGAGGACCACTTCAATATTCTTTTCTCCACAAATAGTCAGTAACAGAGTTGGTTCATCTTCATCAGCAACCAAATTTACTTTTTGGTCCTGCTGCTTCTTTGCCTTGCATTCAGATGCAAAGTGGCCAAGCTCTTGGCATTCAAATCATCTTATGTTACTCTTGTCTCGTGGCTTTTTGTTGGTATTGCTTGCTTCCTGTCGTGAGTCACCACCCCAACGCCCACCTCTGCTACGGGACGACCCTTGCCCTCGTGAGCTGCCTCTTCCACCTCGGTTGTTGTTTCCGCCCCTTCCTCGACCAACAGTTGAGTTTGGATTGCTTGGACTCCGGTGGGTTGATGAGCTTTCCGCCTTGGCAAGTAGCAAGGCGTTATCTGCCTGTGTGCTTGCCTTTCGGAGCCGAAGCTGGTCTTCATATGCCTTCAAATGCCCAATTGCCTTTTCAAATGGCATTGATTCCATGTCACAGCTTTGTTCAATCAATGCCACCAGGTTTATGAACCTTTCTGGGACTGTATCAAACAGCTTCCTTACCAGTTCTTCATCTTCCAATATTGCCCCTGCACTTCCAAACTTTGAGATTATGGCTGATATCTTTCCCGCATAATCATCTATGGTTTCTGTTTCCTTCATTTGGAGTGCTTCAAACCACTTTTCAGTACCCGCAGCCTTGCCTTTTGGACTCGCTCTGCACCCACATATCGTGACTTTAGAGAGTCCCAAACCTCCTTGACTGTCTTTTTCTTGGCAGCCTGTGCAAGTATCTCTTATGGGATAGATTGGAAAATGAAAGCTCGAGCCTGCTTGCTCTTTTTCTCATCCACAACCACTCCGGTTGGTGGCTCAATGGTATCCCACAAACCTTGGGCATCCATTATTGCTTCCATTTTTATTGACCATGTATTGTAGTTCAGTGAGGTCAACATCGGGCATTGAAGAGTGAACGGGCTATCTTTGGGCGGATTGGATGATGTTGAAGCTGTCATCTTGTTGAATCGAAGGTACTTAGGCATACAAGTAATCAGGATCTTTTGCTCTGATACCAAATGTTGGTGATCAAGCCAATACAACAGTGAAATAACAAAGAAATAATAGGGGTGACAACTGAATGAGGCAGTCAAATGATTATTATTATTGAATGAAGAATAGCAACCTAATGATTACAATTGTTGTACAAGGGAATTTCGACTGATTACTGTAACCTAAAAGCTATGCCTTTTAAACTAGCAAAAACTAACATATTAGAGAAATACTAGGAACAATCCTTTTTCCAACGGTCATGACTCCCATGTGCTTTATTTTTTCCTAATTACCAGGTCAACCTTTGACCAACAGTCTGATGGTGGAACATACGACCTAAAACCTAGTGCGCCTTGTGACGACTCAATGACAGTAAAGTTTGTTGATCGCAAGAGGTCACTGTTTTTTCAGTTAAAATCCATGCATATCCTTCACTAACCATTCCTAACCTTCTTGCATTTAAGATAAGGCTAGATGGTAGTGAAGGAGACACATGTACGATAATAACAGCTGTATGAAAAGTCATGATCTTAGGCGACTCTTGGGTGATGCTATCATACGTGGCTGAGGCAGAAATGGAACTTCTGTAACTGATACAGATGTTTTTATCTTGAAATGACCCAGCCAGATATTTTAAGATCTCCGTGCCATCATCGTTATCCTCATGAACAAAGATAACATCCAATTATATGATTTCACAAGGGCAGCAATGCTTTTGGCCATACTGGATTCGTCTTGTGTGATTTGGAACAAGTATGAGTGTTCCCTTAAGGATGGACTAGCAAAAAGAAAATATAGGAACTTCAGCTTTATTAGCAGACAAGGACAATAACTTTCACTGAAGATGCGTTTCTGGGCCTATGATAGCTTGCACCTTCGCTTTTTTCAGCAGATTATATACTGCTCAGGCAAGTAATTAAAAAAAAAAAAAAAAAAAAAAAAAAAAAAAAACAAGAAACATAAATTAATATAGTCCATGTCTATATCAAAAGAGAGTTGATAGAAATAAACGAGAGAGCGTACCAGCTGAAAGAGCTTTATCTGGATCTCCCTCGGAGTCCCTAGTGTGAATAACTATCCTTCTTTTATAGCTGTGACGAAGAGCATAAAAATCAGATATCGCCATGGTAATGCAGCTGTGAATGGTCTTCCCCATTGGTGACTCCATATCTAGAATGATTCCCACGCCTATTAGTATATCATTATTTATGTTTATGTTTTGATTTTGTGATGAAATGGAGTGTGCACATAATGCATGGTTTAAAAAGCACGACAGTATTATAAGGCAAAGGCTAATCTTGTTGTGCTCGATGTGCACCATATTTGCAGGTAGTTGCTTGTAATTATGAACTACTTGCACATTTATATCAAGCATACAATGCGCAAAATGCACTAATAACGTATGAGTACTTATAATAGCAACAAGGTAGCATTTTGAGCTCTTCCAACATATGATAATAAGTTGACAATCAGAACATGCAAAGGGAATCTGGAAGCAGTCGAAGTCAATCAATGAATCAAGTCACAGAAAATATTAGGATTTTCTTTTGTTGAAATCAGTCCACTTGGGAAAAGATAATAGCAACGACATGAAATCTGAGCAACTTGGTATAACCAAATAGGGTTGGCAGACTATTAGATGTCATTTATTATCTTTATGCGCCACCATAAAGCTTCAGTTCAGGTCACAGACGTGGATCATATATGTTATGAATTCATTGAAATACTCCTCCTAAACACGTCAAAGCATAAGAAAATTACAAGAAATAACTTGGATATCTTCGGTGCTTGTTCATATGGCTTAATATGTATGTATAAACAGAACCATATCTCTACAAGAATCAAGAATGCAAAACAATAACTCCACTAGCTAGTTACCCGCTATCTAATAGAAATGATTAACAGTTGGAGACAATCTATAGTTATTTTAGAAAGACCTTGAGAACCAATTAGAAAGACACCCATATTAAGACACCTCATTTTACGTTCCAATACCACACCACGTCTCTGATTCAAATTCACCATCTCTATGTTATCTTGCGGAAATCCCAACCACTCGAACAGCCGAAGCTTGGTGGTCTAGAATTTATTTTACTAAAAGTCAAAAACATCGTTACCGGTCAGACGGAAGTGTTGAAAACCGTTTTTCCATTATAAGTTAAAAGTGAATCTGTGGATCTGAATTAATATCCAAAAGACTGCGATTATAAAAGTAGCAGCGGTGTTGGTTAAGATAAATATGTGCCCTACCAATTACTTTATTGACCCTTGAACTAAACATGGCAACTCATCAGCTTATCGAGTTGACATTTGATCCATATATAAATGAGTGTCTTCATAATGCCATACCACATTCCCATTTAAGATATATAATTAATAAAATCTCTTACTTATCAAGTATATGCATGATAAACTACTTCCTAAATTAACACCACTCTCTTAACAAGTCATACATTAAGTTGTTAGATATGTCATATATTTATTAGACGATGGCTCTATTTGTTGTTGGACATTTTTCGTTATATAAAGCCACAACTCATATGTATAAAATGGAGGATAAACCAATGAGAAAACAAGGAGCTAAGTTACAAACAATAACATGATATCATAGCATGTTTTTCCCTCTCCCCTATATAATTAACCTTGAACGACCAATTTCCCTCACCTCTTAATTGACACACATTGATAACAATTATTATTAAGGAAATATGACTGTAGCACATAAACTTTTGTCATTTGCCCGATTTAGTTATTAAACTTTATTTTTTGCACGATAAATCATTAAACTTTTATATACCTGTCAATTAAACCATTATACTCGATTTTAACCAGTTACCCGATTACCATTCCTACATGTCATTTAATTTAAATTTGTCATAAACTAATAAGCCACGTATGTTAATCCATACCATATTAAATGATATTAAGGGTACTTAAACTCACCTTCTTCTTCATCCTTCATTCTTCATTCTTCGGTAGAAAATGAAAATGGGCAAGCATAATTATGGTTTTTGAAATATTTTGTGATCGAGCTGAAGAACCAAGGAAATCGATAAAATGACACAATCAGACTATTATGGACTCCTTGCGATGGTGAAACTCAACTATCGAGGGGTATTTACTCGTAATTATTTTTCTTACACTGGTGGTATTAAAAGCATCTTCAATGATTTATATTTTTCTGCTATAACATATATGAGTATGTCACATACCTGAAATAAGAGTAAGAACCATTTTTAAAATTTTGATAAGGATAAGGAAAAGAATGTCAGATAGAATATGAAGTTGAAGTTGGGGTGATGATGCTCTACGAAATTCAAAGGGAAAAGCTCTTAAATTAGATTAGGATGATGTCTTATGATGATATGAGTAACGTCCCAAAAATTACAAAGAGATTATCGTTAAAAAAATTAAATTAACCAATTATAACCTTTAACTTAAAAACGATAAGTGACATTCATTTTTTGAAACCATAGTGTTATCATAGTCAATTTACAAAAATAATGGAAATCAATATCTTCGATGCGTGTATACAGTCCCAGCGAGCTCTTTTCACGAACAACATACAAAACATTTTATCCACCACGGTAAGCATAAAGCTTAGTGAGTTCCCCAGTATACCACATATTACATCATATATATAATGCATCCACACAAAGTCATCGACTCTAAAGCCGACCTACCCGCTCTCCTAATCTCAAGCATACATCATACATAATAGGCCCGACCCAAACGTACCTAACGGGCCAAACGTACCTAACGGGCCTACCCCTGACTCATATAACGGGCCCAACCAAATGTATATAACAAGTGAATGCTATGGGCCAAATCTTGTTCTTTCATTTAATACATAAAGTCAAATGTAGATGTTGTAGCACCCGATTCCTGGTACGTATTTAATTAAAGAAATTTATGTGTTTTCTCTGGGACTCGACGAGTTGGTGGCCCAACTCGTCGAGTAGAGTCGTGATCCGCGGGAGTTTAAGTGACCTACTCGACGAGTCGGGAGACCGACTCGGTGAGTGGACGCTGTTTGAGTGAAACCCTAAATTTAAGGGTTTGCACCCTATTTAAACACCTTATCTCAGCCTCCATCGTCCCTTGTACTCCCAGAAGACATCTTAGCGAAACCCTAGCCGTTTTTGAGTGTTCTAAGGCCATTTGGTGCTTTTTGGTGGGTTGTGAAGCTTGAGAAGAGGGAAGGAACTTGTGAGACCATGGGGAAACAAGAAGATCCAGAGTTTGAAGCTCGTTTTCAGCTTATTGAAGGTATGAAGCTGAAACTTTGTCTATAGATCTTGATTTTTGGGCCTTTTCCTTCATATTTCTAAGCCATAGAGAGGTTGTATTCGGGATTTAGTGTTGGAAGTCAGTGTGTGCTTTAGATCCAGGTCTATTGGGGGGTTTTATGGCACAAAGGTGCCCATTTTGTTGCCATGAACACCCCATGCACTTTAGAGGCCATCTTTTATGGCTTTTTGGGCTAAAGACCCCTTGCATGTGTACCAATTTTGGAACTTTACGTGTAAAATGGACATTAGGAGGCCTGATGTGTTAAGACCCATTTAAATCGACTGTATAGTGTTGGCCACGGATGGACTCGACGAGTTGTTCTTGGAACTCGGCGAGTCGTGGTGTATTGACCACCAAATCCTTTCTGTGGATGGACCAATTGTTAGGGAGAAAGTCGCTTAGTTGTTTAGACGCGTAAAGGGACCTGGGAATCATAGGACTCAGCGAGTGTATCAACAGACTTGGCGAGTCCAAGGCAATCTCCCAATCTTTGAAGATGGACTCGACGAGTTGTTCATACAACTCGGCGAGTCATAGACTGGACACATTCTTATGAGGGAGATGAACTCGACGAGTTCAAGGATGAACTCGGCGAGTCGGATGAAGATGGTCCCGATGGTTTGAATGAAGGAGAACCCGTCGAGTTCTTGCTAGACTCGACGAGTGGAGTCGGGTTTGGATCGGGTTAGTAGAGCAAGGACTCAACGAGTTAGTAGAACAACTCGGCGAGTCAGGTCAACTGGGTGTTGACTTTGACCAATGTTGACTTTGCCTGGTTTTGGTATTGACCCTGGTTAGGGTTGTATGTTCGGTTTGATGACTTGAAGGTTGCCGTGTAGGGATTGAGGGGTCGAGAAGAGCCGACCTTCATGCAGAGGACAGTTCCAGCACTACACGACATCGAGGTGAGTTACCTTCCAGTAGCGGTAGGTCTACGGCCACAATGTCGGCCCACCAGTAGGAGTTGTATGTTAGATGATTGTCTTTGTGATATTCATCTAGGTTTGCTACTACCTGTTATGTTTTACGTGCTAGCATGATATGATGTTACGTGATGATGGTAGTAGTAGGGGAGATAGTCCCCAAGTTACCGGTCGATAGGGCCGAAGGGGTAGCTTAGTACCCAACTAAGTTAGATTATGATTACGTGACTGTATGTGATAGACCGATCGAGAGGGCCGAAGGGGTAGGCCAACACCTAGATATGCTAGGCAAGGTCACCGGTCGAGAGGACCGAAGGGGTAGGCCAACACCTAGATATGCTAGGCAAGGTCACCCGTCGAGAGGACCGAAGGGGTAGGTCGGGCACCCAGATATGCCTGGCAGTATGTATGTTATGTGTTTGTATGGTATGTGGTATGATGGGGGAACTCACTAAGCTTCGTGCTTACAGTTTTCAGTTTTGTTTCAAGTACCTCTTCAGCGAAGGGGAAGGAGCCGGCGCGGTAGCGGCACATCACACTCACGCATGATTTCCGCATTGAGTTTTCTGGGATTGTACTCTGATTATTACTATTATCCGATGATATGTTTTTGAGACACGACGTAATGGTTTTATGAATTAATATAATATCAACAATGTTTGATAAATGATTTCACATGATTACTTAATTAAAAATGAAATTTTTAGCCTTGAAAATTGGGATGTTACAAGTTGGTATCAGAGCCTTAGTTTGAGGGATTCGGATACACTCTTGGGTGTGTCTGAACGCAAACTGAGGACTTGGTAAGAAAACTTTCAAAAAAGAAAATCACTTTATGAAAAGAAGTTTGAAAAGAGAAAAAGGAACTTTGAAAAAGAACAAGATGTGTGATGTGCGCGACCGGCCGAGCTCAAGTAAGTTTTCCCCAAGATACCCATACATGTTATGTTATAATATGATATGATTATGAGAATTGCATGGTAGATTAGGGCTAGAGGATCTAGGAAGGATGCCTTATATGCCTACTGTATATGTATGAGAAATGCATGTTAGATTAGGGCTAAGGATCTAGGAAGGTGCCTGATATGCCTGCTATATGTGCTTTTGAGCTGCGAGATGTTACTGATTAGTCAGTTATATGATAGCTTGGATAGAGTACGATTGGATTGGGTTACTCAATGCCCGAATGATGTTGCTTTGT